CCGGGAAGGCCCGACATGGCGCGGCCTCTTTCGAAGAACCGCGCTGCTCCGCCCACCTCTGCGACACTTGGCCGGGGCCTCGCGCCAGGCGGCCGCGCTGACTCACCCGGCGCCATTCCCGGGCCCTGGCGTCACGGCGGCTCCCCGCGAGGCCCGGCGCAGGCGGGGGGTGGCGGCTCTGCCGGGTGTGCGGAGCTGAGGATGTTTCCCTGGGAAGGTGCCTGGGAGCGGCTGCCTGTCCTCCCGCAGCCCCTGCTGCCCAACGTCACCGTTGTGCTGCCGGTGACACAGCACGAGTGCAGGTCCTGCTCATGCCTCAGTTTCCCCATCTTCTTCTGCAAGAGGGAATGAAGTGTTTGCTTTGCCAGTCGCTGGGACAGCAGCCAAGGGTCAGCGTGGGGCAATCCCTGGAGGAACGCTTGGCCTGGCAGGTGCTTCTCCAGCGTCCAGGCTCCAAGCACCTTCCTCCCCTTCCTCTTCCTCCTCCTCCCGGAGCTGGGCCCGGCCAGGTACCGTGGCAGCAGAGCAGAGGTGGCTTTTGCTGCACATCCAGTCCTGGTGCCCCAAACAGAGCTGCTGTTTCCTTGCTGGGTCCCTGGTCTCTGCCCAGGGCTGCTCTGATGGACCCTCAGGGTGAGTTACCCTCAGGGTGCCTGGCGATGACAGGGCTTTGGGCCAGGTTGTGCGGGGTTTACTCTCCAAAGCCTTCTCCGATATCCGTGAGCTGTAATCCCAGCTCGGGAAGCGAGGCCAGTGCCCTGTGTCTCTAGTTTAGGGACGCGTTGGCCTTGGGAACGGCACAAGCGTTTCTGACCCCCACGCAGAGCCCTGGCCCTGCCCGCTGCAGCGCTTGGGAAACGGAGGTGCAGGGGGAGAAAACGTCTTTCCAAAACCGGGCCTGGCACTGGTGTTTTCCAACAGCTCCTAGCGGCAGGATGCAGGATCAGGGGGCGAGCGCAGGGCCGGGAGGCGGCATCCTCTTACGCAGGTGTTTGCTGACTCACATTCGCTGGCATCCCTGCCCTGCCTGCAAACGGCCTGGCTGCTCCTATAGCATTTCATTGCTCATTCCTGGCTTCTACGAGTTCTTTGGAAAGCACTTAGGCCCTTCTCACTAGCCTAAGGAGATGAGCAAAGCTGGTACCATCAGTATTGCTGGGCTTGGTGTATCCCAGACTGAAAGTCCTTGGGCTTCTGCTTCCTTTCGGAAGTGAGCGCCGTTCGCAGGGCTTGCTTGGGGCTGGGGAAACCACCCAGTTGGGGGTTCTTAGGGTATTTTTGCAGTGTTGGACTTCAGCAACCATTCTGAATTAAAAACTGGTTAGCTCTGAGAGCATGGGATCTGGGCAGGGTGATGAACACGACAGCTCAGAGCCGCTCGTTCCGGATGGGGCGGTCCTGGCCTGGTCCCATAATTGGGGATGGGTGTCTCCCTGTTTGCAGATGATTTCTGAAGTTGGGGCATGTTTGGGTCAAAAGCAGGGAAGGTGTCACTCCCATGACCCCAAGACCGAGGTCCCAGCCTGGCCTTGACCCATTGCCACCAAGCGCTGCCCGTGGCCTGCCCTGCTGCTTTGCTGGGGTGCTGGAAGGGCTCTGCTCTGCTGGCCTGGGGTCTCTCCTGGTGCCCCTTCCCCGCTGGACGCTGCCCCGCGGTGCCTTGGCTCCTGCGCGCCCTGCACCAAAATCTGCCTCTCGTGACCTTCACGCTGGGGCTCCAGGCAGCTCTCAGTGCAGCTTATCTCCCTCAAAGCCGGCCAGGCTCTGCTCTGGAGACAGCAGCTCTGAATCTCGACCCTGTGATACCCACAGGTGCCTTTCCCACGTCTCTCGGAGCCCTCGAACTTTCTATCTGATCCCATTAGCAAATGTGCTCCTGCCCAGGCCAACTTGATTCCTGGGAGGTCACATTCACTCCCTGCTTTTGCCTTTGTGTCTCCAGGGCAAGAACAAGGCGAACACCAGGGAAGCACGTGCCAAGCCCCGTCTCTCTCGGGGCAAGTGACGCCACCTCCTAACCCAGCCTGGGGCCAGCAAAGCCCCTCCATGGCCTCCTGAGGCTGCCGCGCTGCGTGATGTGCTGAGGAGCCCCACAGGTGCCTGCCCTTATCTGCTAGGCACGGAGACAGCTGATTGCCCATGGAGTAGAAGTGAATGACACGCAGGTGAGTAATATGAGAGGTAAAAGAGGTGTAAGAGCAAGATAACTCCTTGCACTTGCAGAAATACAGGGTAGGAAGAAAGCACCAAGCCTTTCTGGCCTGTTGAATTAGCTGCAGGGAATCTCAGCTGGGCTAGCCCGTGTTGCTGCAGCTGGGGCCATCCTGGGGTGGAGGTGTTTGGACACGGCCCAGGGCTCGGCTGCAGCACCAGCCCTGACAGCGTGAGACCCGCTGAGGAAGATGCTCCTCGGAACCACAGAGGGTAATTGTGTGCAAAGGGGGAGCCAGGAGCATTTCATGGCATTGCTGCTGATTCGGGAGGCTATGGAGAGGGGAAAGGCTCATCTGGAAGGAGTGAGGGCAGATCTGCACGTCCCTCCCTGTCCCAGAGCGGGGGCCGTGCTGCTACCCTGTCCTAAGCCACTCTAAAGAGAGCAAATCCGTGGGACATCAGTCCCATCTGTTGGTAGCTTTCCCTTT